GGAGGAGGAGGGCCGACTGTACCTGAAGAAAGCTCGGCATGGTCCTGAAATTGGAGAAACGAGGTTTGGGCTTGAAGATCATCGGGGAGGCCGTGCAGCATCTGGAGTATTAGTTGGTGCTCAGACACGGGAGCATCAACGTCGCCCAACCAATCCGCGATATTCCTGAGCTCTTGAAAATACGCGGCCAAGGGGGTAGATCCTTTGATGGTGGTGCGAATTTGATGCTCGAGTTGCATGGCGCGAGCATGTTTATTGTCGTGAAGCAAGTCGTGAATCACCGTCTAGAAAGCAGAAGCAGTAGAAACAGAGGAAAGAACTAGATCAGAAACCTCATCAGTGATGGTGGAGAGAATCGAGCCCTGGAGAATGGCGTCAAGTTGGAACCCTGAAGGTTGAACCGCCGTGCGAGAAGAAGGAACAAGCGGCTCCACTTTTTATAATTTGGTTGAGAAAAGCTGAGTTGAATTGGAACATGGAGTTTAACATTGGACACGGAGAAAGCTAGATGTGGAGGTTTTTGGGTGGAGGATTGAGACGTGACCTCACTATCGGCCATTGTAGGGGAGGGGAGAAGCAGCCGGCCGAGAAGGAGAAGGAGGAGGGGGACGGCGGCGCTGGTGGTTCGGCGTAGGAGGGGAGGCCGAAACTAGGGAAGAATATTTTAGGGTTTTTAGTTTGGCTCCGATACCATGAAGAATTATATTTTCATTGATTAATTATGTGAGGAATACATGTATATATACAACATCTCAATCCTAGTTATGGTAGGAGAGGAATTCTAGGTAAGCTATACAAGTATGGAAACAAATCATAATACAATAATATTAAATATATTTTATATATTTAACAGTATGTATTCATCTCGATTTAATTTATACCAAACCCGATAGGTGACCAACTTTTGTCATACCGAATCAATATTTTAGAATCGGGATCACTAGGACGTAAAATCCCATATGAAATTCAAATATTTAGTACGACATCAAAATGAGCTAAATACCGTAACATGGTCAATCCTAATTCTAACTAGATCTGGATCTGAGGGCATGCACCGGAAATACTAGTAATGCCTCAGGCTTCATCCAGTGTTTAACGTCGTTAGGGCATTAAACAGTGCCCCCTGCCTCATTATTGGGACGTCATCAGCAACACATTAAACGTTTAACACGAAGAAGAGCCATTGCCAGCTTCCCTCCCCCCAAATAATCTAAATTATGGTTGTTGGTCAATTAAAAAAATTAATTTTTCAACTATAAATTCCCCCTTATTTTTTAAAATGCACACACACAACATATTTTGATTCTCTTTATAACTCATCCAAAAAATTCATATTCTCAATTCTCTCTACAAATCACCCAAAAATGGGATAATCTTCATTTGACGATGAAAGAAGTGCTCTCATGTTTCGTTCTTTCTCGGCGGGCTATTACCAATGGTGGCAACAAGCACCACATGAGGAAGCAGAATTGTCCTATGCGCTCGAACCGACTTGAGCTTTAAACCGTGATCGGGCGGCTGCACACGAAGCACTACTCAACGACGACTACTTCAATACACTTTGTGTTTAGACACTAGAGGATTTTAGTAATCGTTTTCGGATGAGACATTCTTTTTTAATGCACACTTTCCAATATGGAATGCGAGATGCCTTGGTTCACCCAACGGTTTGATGCGAGAGGCCGGTGTGGTTTTACCAGTGCCCAAAAGTGCATTGTCGCGCTTCGTCAGATGGCGTACGAAACTGCTAGTGATATGTTTGATAAATACTTGAAAATATCCGCTCGAAATATCAGGTCATATGTTTATAAATTTTCTAAAGCTATTATTTGACTATTTCATAAGAGGTGTTTACGGAAGCTGACAGCGAGCGACATTGAGCAGTTAAAGGCGAGGCATGCCGCTAAACACGGTTTTGTCGGCATGCTTGGGGGCATCAATTGTACGCATTGGGAATGAAAAAATCATCCCACTGCGTGGCATGGTACGTCACTTCTCCCGTGGTGATTATTCTAAGCCTACTGTTATGCTCGAAGCAGTGGATTCAAATGACTTGTGGTTTTTACATGATTCTTTTAGGTGTTCCAGGCTCGAAAAACAACATCAATGTTCTTGATCAATCACCTGTATTTGACAATTGGATTAATGATATTGCACCCGACTTGTATTTCGAGCTTAGAGGGATGCTTTACAAGTGTGGATACTATCTTGCCGATGGAATGTATCCAAATTTTTCCACAATTGTCAAGTCTCTCTCGGAATCAATCGGTTTAAAACGTCTGACGTACAAAAAAGCTCATGAGGAGGCAAGAAAAGATATCAAACAAGCGTTTGGAGTTTTTTAGGGATTATATTATGTATAATCGTCCGTCCAAATGTTATTCTCAAACAAAAATGAGAAATATTATGTATGCATGTATTATTCTTCATAATAATTATAAAGGACAACGGATTTGCAGTTTGTCATTACAAACCAGACGAGGAGGTGCCTACCTACGGAGAAATCGAAGAAGAATAGAAATGAAAAAATCATCAAGAAATTCGAAGTCGAGAAATTCAGGATGCACTAATGGCATATTAGATTGAACATATTTTTAGTTGACCAACTAATCATTATTGTAATTTTTAAGTTTTTTTCAGTTGTTCAAGAAATGTAATTTTTATTTATGTTGTTATTATTGAAATCTTTTTTTATTTAATGCAATTTTTTTAAAACTGAATGTACTTTTTTAGTTTTTTATTGAATGTAATTTTTTATTTAATTAATTATTTGATGTACTTTTTTCTCATTAATTTACTTTTACAAAATGTATATTAAAAATGAAGAAAAGTTTAAACCCTAGTTTTAAGCCTCGGGCTTCTTTCAAACCTATTTGTAGTGAAACTACGTAGTATAAAGTAAGTTAAAAAAAGGTCAAAGTTGATGTGGAGATATGTCAGAGAGTATAAGTTTAAAACCCAGATTTGAAGCTCTGGGCTGAGTGTAAAGATGTACGCCGCATTATCTTGATAATGCATTTTTCATGTACTCCGGGGACGGGGATGTAAAAGAAAATTGTAGCAGTGAGTAGCATCCACTTTACCATCATATGGTTGTAACAAAATTTGAACAATTAGGTGTAGACATTAATACTTGCTTCCTCTCAAATTATTTGTTGTAGTTTGACATTTATGCCAACTTTAATTAATCATAAATTATAAAACATTATATTTTTTTATAATCATTATTATATATAATTGGATTCATTTTAAAATGTAATTTTCATAAATAATAATTTTTTAACTTTTATATAATCAAACAGATATTTAATTTATGATCAAAATTATCATAAAAGTCATATTATAACAAAATAATTTGGGACGGAGTGAGGGAGTATTGAAAAGACAACCTAATAGTATGATCCCCTAATAATTTTATGTGACATTTTTGTAGCAACAATAAGAAAAGGGAGACCCGCTTTTGCGTGTGGATAGGCGACTCTTTCCAAATGCAAACCCATCTTATTCTCTCCGGATAGAGTAATACCATGTGAGTCATTTTAATTTGAATAGAAGTAATGCTTACTACTCACATCAATAGGTCCACACAAAAATATGTAGACCTTATGTGCGCCAAAGTATTTGCCTAATGTGTGTTACACTACAAGAACTTTGGAAGGGGCATGTTACGCCCCGGGAATTGTTAAATGACTCTTAGGGAAGTACATTCCAAAGGAGAAGTAGATTACGCCGATCGAATGGTAGTGAAATTAACCAGTGGGAGGGGCGCAGTAGAGACTCAAGATAGCCCAGAAAAGGGCATAAGACTCTCCAGGCAACCCGATCCGAACTAGGTAAGGCATTTTGAAACTTAAGGCATGGATACCCTTGTTGTGAACTGGACTAAAGTCCATAGACCGAAAAGACTTCGGTCTGGAGGAGTTCGTGAACTCTAATCCTTTTTTACGTATGTGAACAAAGACCCCTGGGTGTTCATTTGTTTACGAGCGCTCTACTTATATCTCCTCTCTAAGTCAAGGCACTAATGAATGTAATGTTGGAAAGTTTAATTACGACAATGACTTACAAACTATGTTTTTATTAATGCTTAACAGAAAAAATTTGATTCTTTGTGGCATCATATGTTGCCATAAAACGTCTAAATTTAGTCACAATATACAATTTGTAGCAAATCTAGACTTTTCCACAAGAACCCTGCCACAAAAGATATTAGTGGCAAATTTAAATTTACCACGAAAAACATTGATTTTATGGCCAAGTTTGGTTTGGCAGAAAAGCTTATATTCAGTACACGTAGCAAATTTGAGTTGTCCTAGATACGAAATTGAAGACCAGAGTTGTCCTAGGGCAAGTGAAGCTAGTGTACTGTCCTTCAATTCAAGCTTAATAGTTAATCCCTTTGTCATCTTTGAGTGTCGCCATCATAAAAGTACCCATTTGCAACATGATCATCTTGCTTAATTTCTTATATATCGTCTTCCCAAGCAATATAATGTAGCATTGTCTCAATGTCTTTCCCGGCGCGTCAACTGGATATATTCCCATCTACACCGTGCATCTTTCATCATCATCATCATCATCATCAAAGCTGCCCATCAATGGATCCACCCGTCATCTTTCTCAAAGCCTTCGACCCATCTGCTCTACATACCGGCCACCTTTGTATTAGAGCCAGCCGTTGAGCCCTTTAGCCTGAATGCGTGCCCTTTAGCCGGTCATTTTCCACATTGCCTTCTAGCCTAAATCAGAGCCCGAAGCCCAATCAGCAGAAGCTCGGGTCGCATCCAAGAAAGTAGCTCATCTCTCTTGCCTCTGTCTTATCTATATCGCACCTCATGCACCATGTTCTAAGATCCCTCCATCGCCCAAGTCTAACACTGAAGCACTTACGAAAGGTAGTCTAAATCATAGCAACTGCACGACGGAGTCCAACGTCTGATCTCCAAGCAATGACTGTTTCATGATTGTCCAACAAAGTGATCGCCATTCAAAATAGCAACCTTTCCAACAGAAAACCCATTCAGATTTTGCTCTCGAATTCATATCGACGGTCCTTCCCTTTGCTCCTTCAAGGAGAATGAACCAATGGAAATTAGCGCTCCTAATTACTCCTATAAAGTGAGAAAAGCAAGGTTGAATGAGGGAGGAAGAGGTGGTAGCTTCACTTATTAGGTCCTCTTCTTTTTTGTTGGAATACAGAATGAGATGTTGGAAGAGACTAGAAATAGTTGGAATTTGGAAGAACTCGAAGTAATTAGAAAAAGAATGGGGACGGGAGAAAGAAGGGCAAATTCTATGGTAAACCTAAGGTCCACAATGGACCTATAAGCATTTCTCTATTATTTAAATAAGCATCTATTTTCTTTAATTAAAAAAAAGTTTTATTATGTGAGAAGGTCAAAAAAATAATATATGCACCCAAGGTGCACCAAATAAGCACTCGAAAAATAAAGAAAGAAAACGAGGAGAAGAAAAAGGAGGGGTGGAAGAGAGAAGAGCTGGTGGAGAAAAGGGAGAGAAAAGAAAAGAAGAAACGGAACAAAAAAGGAGGAGAAGAAGGGGTAGTTTTGGAAGAGTTGGGATGAAAAAGTGGAATGGGAAAATTATTTTCAGACGGTAAAAAACAACGTAGAATGAGAAGATTATTTCCGAATGGAGGGAGTATTTTCAACAATAGATTGAGGTTCTTTTAAACAATAAACAATTCTTGATTTCTTGAAAATATGTACTACCTCCCTCCCACAAAACTTTTCCACTTTGAAAAAAAGTGCAATATAAGGAATGTGTAATTTTGGAGTTGCTTTCCAATTTTGCACTTACTTTAATATAAGGTAAGATAAGATGTGATGAGTACATTAATAGTGAATATATATGATATGATACGTAAGTTAATAATTAGTTGGGGTTAAAAAGGAGATCTTAATTGAAAGTGAGTATTTTTTAGGACATAAAAAGTGAAAATGGAAAGGTTTTTTTGGTTTGAGGGAGTAACATTTCTTTTACGTGGGTAAAAAAATTTCATTGGTTAGAAACCTAAAGAGTATGCTCATCCTTAGGAGTTGAAATTTATTAAAATGCATAATGTATTGGCCCGCTACGTTCACTGGCTTCTGGAAGAGAGAGAATACCTCAAGGTTGTAATGGTCAAATTTGCTCAAGTGCCACTGAGCTTTAACATGTTATCTTATTTAGTGCCTTTATTTATCACAGGTTTGTAATTATCGTTCTACTGGTTTAGGGCATGTTCTTTTCAACTCTTTCCAGTTTCTTCCAACAACATAAAAAGTATTTGTATATATTTAATATAAAATAACATTATATATCCAAATTTGTAACATATCACCTCAAACACGTACAATGATGTATTTTTTATATCCAAAGTTAAATTTTTCTAACATATTGATTTGGATGACTTTTTAATACGTAGTAGTACTTAAATTCTTCCAAAAATTATCAACTCTTTCCAGTTGTTTCCAACTCCTTCCAGTTTCTTCCTACTCTTTCTAGTTTTGTTCCAACATCTAACTCTGAAATTTCAATCCAAAAGAAAAGGGTCTTAATGTTCTTAACCTCTTCATATATCTGACATTAGTTAGCTAGATCTCATGTTGTTTGTTATTTTGCTGCATGATTGCTCAACTTATTCAGCTCTTCTAATTTTATGCATGCAATGTAGAATAAATGAAGGTGTTTATATCTTCACTCGCTAATTGTCCAGTTATGAATGTACTTTGACAAATAACCTGTTGCAGACCGAGAAATTCTTGATCAGTGGAGATACTAATACAAGAGCAACCGAAGCATTTTCAATTGTACAAAGAGTCAGCTTTTCATGTCTTTTACTTTTTCATGCATTTCTTGAAAATGAAAGAAAGTTCCACTGCTTACCGATTTGATTTTTTTTATTACTTTCTTCTCAGATTTAAATTCAATTATGCTATTTATTTTGTTAGCATATCTTTTCAGTAAGGCATTCGGCTTTTACCTTTCCTTTAACTCAGTGAGACTATAATGTTCTAGGTTGATGAACTTTCAGAACTAAAGAGAGTCTCTACCAGGCACCATCTCCTAAGGTTCAAACCATTGAGTTGTCTGAAAGATTCTCACAATTAGAGACCATCAACATTTGTCCCCCTTGCAATGAGGTCAAAGTTAATTCTTTCATCCGATTTGTGCTTATTGTTTGCCTATGCGTAAATCATCATGTTTACGTTTATTGTGTGCCTAAGCTTAACTGCTTTATTAGTCTTGACATTGATCAGTTCTAACCTAGCAATTTTCAAGTTCATCTTTCTGAAAAATAAGCAAGGGAAAATAGATTCCACCAGGTAGAATATTGAAACATGAAAGCATAGTTGGAAATATAATTTGGGGAGAGTAAATATAGAATTTGAACATTATATTGGGAACTAATTAGAAAAAAAGATCTTACTGGATAAGACACTTGGCCAGGCTAAATTTCATGTCTTGAGTGGTACTTTCTCATCTTCTTGAATTTCATTTTTCCATTTTCCAAATTTGGGCTTCTCAAACTACCTATTATTTTGAATTCATATTTTTCATATTCGGTTAAACTCTTATGATTTTTTATTATGCTTTCTATGCATGTTCCAAATATACCCTTTAGATGTGCAGCTAAACCACTTACAGCCAAGTAAAACATCGCTTCAAATTATAAAGCATTGCTTAAATGAATAAATGGCCAACATTCTATATCAAAGCTGTGTTGGCTATCTTTTTCTCTTCTGCTCCCTTCCACAGATTAAATACCAATTTTATGCAGGCTATCCTGCCCCATCTAATCAATTTAGTGTTCTTTATGTCATCTCTTCTAAAGAAATTGATTATTTATGCACACTAACATTGCACAATGTACTAAATGCTCATAAACCAATATATTGTTCCCTAAGTGAACTTATCCAGGACGCTCCCAGGACAAGAATTACAGTATGTGCATTGGGGCCAACCAGGTTGAAGGCGTTGACACTTGACACTACCATGCTCTGAAGTGGATAGACGAACACAATAATGGCTTACTAAGAATATGGGGGGAAGAAAAAACACCTAGTTGTAATCGCCACAAAACATTACTAAACCTAAGACATAAAGGGTGTACAACATAAAAAACAGAGGGAATGACTGGGCACAATCTATTGCATGTGGAATTGAGTTGACACAGTTGATGTTTTTATTTTTACACAACTTTCCTCGAAAAATTTCACGAACACGCGAAACACATTCTAAACCATACAAGGTAAATAGCCTTGCATTTTCTCACTCACTTTCCTATGAACGTCCAGTACTATATGCATGTCATTAAAGTATACTTCGTGCCTAGATTTGTACATTTAAATTATAATACTTGGTGCACATTCAACAAAGTCTAGTTCAAGAAAATTTTTGTACAAAAAATAAACATATGCATGCGTCCCCAACCCGTGCGAAGCACGGGGTAGACCACTAATTAAAATGCATAATGTGTTGGCCATGTGCGAATAGATTATGTATCATGTATCAGAGTTGAATGAAAAAATTTGCTCTTCTATAAACTTTTTCTTCTAGTGGAAGTATACTTTCGAGCTTGCAAGGGAGAGTTGTGATTCTTGATGTATTTTGTGCCAAAAATTTTGAATAGCACAACTCCAGGTCTTGTGGAGAGTTGACAATCCTACGTATTGTGGTTAAGGAAATGAATCAACTCGGCCTTTGAATACTTTTTCTAATCTTGTGTGTGTAAGTTAGATAAGATATTGCCTAAGTGCTATAACATGTTTAAAGTTTGTCTTGGAGTGTTTTTTTTGTTCTTGGTGGTGTTCAATGTTCAGGAGTACCTAAGTGGTTGATGTTACTTATATTATCGGTGAGCTATTGGTGTCTCTTTCTAAAATATATTTCATACAAAAATATTTTTTAATTTTTATCAAAGCCTCCTATGTTGTGTTTAAGTTTAGTACTCTGTATAAGTTTTTATTTACTAAGTTCATAGTATAAGTTGGTGTTTAGGTGCATATAAGATATACTCCCTCTGTCCCAAATTAATACTCACAATTTGACTTCGCACGGAATTTAAGAAAAAGTGAAATTCTGTCATTTAAAATGATGTAAAAGCGAGAGAAAACATGTGAGCCACAAAAAAACTTTCTAAAAAAGAAAGTGAAACATTAATTTAGGACAGTCCAAAAAGGAAATAAGGAGAATAATTTGGGACGGATGAAGTATTAATAAACTGGAAGATATTTGGAGCTACTCTAGGAAGAAACTTTTGAAGGTGAGAGACACGTTTAAAGATATGCCTCCAAATGGAGAATATGATATCCAAAAAGGGTAGAAGTGGATGCTTGGAATCATGCCAAAGTGGAGTGGAATAGTCTGGTTTGGAATAATGGACCTTACCGAAACATCAATTCATTCTATGTCTCACTTGCAGGGGTAGGCTCCAAACTAAAAACAGGCTTTCCAAATTTCTGGATATTGATGATCTTTGTGTACTATGTGGGAGAGGCAGTGAAGATACTAATTTAACCACTTATTCTGGACATGTAAGTTTGCTAAAGATCTTTTCAAAGCCCTTGCACAGTGGATTTACTACCCCCTTGAAGCCTACTCATTCACAGAGATGGGGAAGAAGATCCAAAGAAGTGGAGAATGCCAATTATGGTTTGTTTGTTGCATGCTGTTATGCTATTTGGAAGGCCAAAAATGAGAAGACTAACAAGAACAAACAACCAAGCCTGAAGGATAGTATCTACTAGATCAAAGTTCATCGTAACATGTACATTAAGAGCCTGATCTTTAGAGCTTAAGCTCTTAACTTCCAGTTCTTTCTAGTTTTTTCCAATTTCTTCCAATTTCTTTTGCTTTTTCTAACTACTCCCATTTTATTCAACCTTTTTCTATTTGCCAAATAATGACTCGAAAAATAATGTGTTTTTCATGTATTATTATTATTGCTATTATTATTATTATTATTATTAAGACATTCATAACTATAGTTTATTTTTCATTTTTTCAATTTTTCAATTTTAATTTTTTCCCATGTCACTTTTTTTTTGTAAATCACACCCATTATTATTTTTTTCCATTTTAATATAAATAATACGACGTACATTTTTATTGGGAAAAATTCCTTTTTTATTACTCCATCTCTCCCATATCTTTTTTCGCAATGCATTATCCCAACTTCACAAAAACTTTTATTTATTTGCGTTTTTTCATGGCTTACATGATAAAATAAAGTATTCTTGTCACCACTTGATTTGTTTAACTTCTGATGTACTCCCTCCGTCCCATAAAGTATTACCCATTTTGACTAAAGTTAAAATTAAGGGAAGGATAATTTTGTGTTGACTTTCCAAAAATACCCTTGATGTGATGGGTAAAAGTAGGATGTGATGTGTAGAATATTAGGAAAAAAGTATGATGTGATAGGTAGGGTTTGAAAAAGTAAGGGATAAAAGTGGTTTTTTAATAGAAATGGGTAAGGGATTATGGGACGCAATTTTTTTGAAACGTGTAAATCTTTTTGGGACGGAGAGAGTAGTTTTTAAATATCTAAGTTTCATTTTTTATTTCTAAACTAATATTTCAATAAAATAGATTTTAAAAAGTTGGGATTTTTCTTTGTTTTTGCAACGCAAAGAAAGATAAAGGAGGGAGGGAGTAATTTATATGAGACGAAACAATGTTCTAAAATTTAGAAATATTTTATTAATATAATTTGACCTGGAAAAAACATTGATATTTTAAATTAAGAAATAATAATTAGACTACTCACTATGTTCCTAATTAAATGGCATGTACACTATTCACGTGATTGAATTTTATTGACTTTCTTTACCTATTATATATCATTGTTATAATAATAATAATATAATATTAATATTAATATTAATAACAACAACAACAATAAAATAAGAATAATATGTAAAATACATTTAAATAACTTTTTAAAGTTCATTTTAGTTTTTTCCAGATTCTTCCTGTTCTTTCCAATTTTTCCAACTTCCTCCGATTTTTCCAGTTTTTTCTAACATCTAATTCTTTTCATTCAGGCCTAAAGAACACGCTCTAAGAGTAAAATAGATAAACACAAGAGTAGTTGAGAATCAAGTTTGACTTTTCTGTATGTTTGGACATTGTTGGATTGATGATAATATTATGTCCTTCGCCCCAAAAAAAAGTTGGTGCTTATAAGTTATAGATATAAGTTTATCATATACACTATTTACTTCTATATATTAAGTATGTGTTTACTTTCTAGAGGTTATATTTTTAAGTTTCTTGTTTATAAAATTAATTTATAAGTTCTTATGTTTATTTAAACTAAGGTTAAGTTCTATTATAAGTGTAATAAGTTCTTATCATATTAGTTAGTTTTATTTTATTTTTATTTTTTTAATTGACAATGTGGGTGCGAATTTGATTTCAAAAAATAGAAAATTTTCCAATGGGAATATGGGATAGATCATTACTTGCCCTATAGCTAGGGGGTTAGATGACTTAGTTCATCAAGGTTTAATTTTATTTTTAATTTGTTTTGGACTCCACGACAGGTCCTCAACAATATTCCCTATACGAGACTTCAATTGCTTGGACTCCTCGTCCAAGACTTCACTCTCATTAGATTGCGAGTTCTTAGCAAATCAGAATGCAAAAAGAAGATATTATCAAGCATAAAGTTTCTCCCCTAAGTTAGAATCGATTGTTAACCAATTCTTGCCAATTTTGGCCTACAACTAACCAGACAAGCGTTTGTCAAGCTTAGACAATCGATTTTCCCAGCAATCCGTTTCAGCCCTTACTGAAATGGTCACAACTCACAACGCTCTCATTTTAAGTCGGAATTTAATGATTCAAAAACTGGTGTATTCATAAAAGAGAGTTAATAAAAGGTTTAAAGAAGCACACCTTTATCCGCAAAGACAAAACTCAAGCTAAGATGATGAGTCAGAGATATATACATTTCTTTGCTCTTCCATAAATAGCAGCCACTAATGGAGATGATAGATACAGGTACAGTTCTTGTTTCACTATAAACATATTTCTTCTTCCTATAGAGGTTTGTCTTTTACACTCAGCATGTTATCAGGAAGAAGTTCGTGAGTTTTTGGCTTCAACCCTTTCGCAGACCAACGTTTCAGAAGGGCCCTTTCTATTACCCTAAGCTGCAAGCAATTTGCTTAATATAAGCAAGAAATTCCATACGAGAGAAAGGAGCTACATCACACATGGATGAAAGGAAACTTTTATTCACATATACTCCTTCAAGAATACTGCAACTTCAGGCACCATTAGAAAATACAGATCAGGCACTTTCGAATAAAAATTCAATCAGCCCTTTTTGAAGGAAAAATAAATTATAACCTGTCGTACTACCAATGGCTCCCGAGCAAGACTTAATGGCTCTGTCAAAATGGTAAGAAAGCCATTTCTGTTTCCATACACTATGTCTGTGAAGGGTCGATCACCAACCTGTCATGGGCAAAACGAGTAACTCAGCAAAGAAAAATGTGAAGCGCAATTAAAGAACTGCTTCGTTTCATACCATTATAAGTTTTGAGGAGTCACAGCCAAAGTGTTGTACAATTTCTTCAGCCGTTCCAGCCGGCTTCTTCATCTCTAAAGTTTACAAAACACAAAACAAGCATAGCAAATTTAAATCGCAGGTAACGCCATTCATTTGGAACTACAAATGCTGCAATATTAAACTGCGGTAGCTAAAAAGAAATCATGAACTTACTATGCCTGATTACTTTGATTCCAATTGTACCCTCAAGAACCAAAGCACTTCTGCCATCAGGGTCATATTCAAGTAATCCTAAAATTTAACCAGTGGGTATATGATACATTCAGAAATACATTCATAATCGTACGTCTAATGCTGCAAACAATCTTTCTTTAAAGGAGAATTGAAATGAGCCTCCCTCACGTTCACTTTATCGTTATTTGGATAAATAACAAACATAAACACGAAAAACTAAAGCAAATGAGCATTCTTTATAGAAATAATGAACACATTTTCAAGGAATAATGAACCTATCGTCACAATACTACAAAAAGAGTCACTTACTAAAATGAGGATGTACAATATAATATGCACAAAAGTTGACCCCAAGGAGTAAACAATACATTAAATGAAAACTGGAGTAGCTCCAATTAACCTGCAGAGTTGCTGAAAATTGCTATGTTGTTGCCAAAGAGAGATTTGCAGTGTTGAAAGGATAATTCCAGAGGCGGCCACAACCCTAAAGAGTAAGGAGCAGTGATTGTGTTGTCCTTATCGAACACCACCCCTTCAAAGCCTCTTCTCTTCAGCTCATCCCAATCAATATACCTTATATCTGGCACTGAGATGTGTGGGATCATCAAATTCCTGTCTTTAGTGAAAACCAGAAGAGAAGAAGCAATTCCTTGAACATTAAACCTTTGCCCCAGAGCTGCTCTCAGGTCTGTCCACCACATGGAGAATCCGCTGGAGAATCGCCTTTTCTAAATCGATATGTGCCTTCTTCGTGTTGGGCATTTAGGATTTGAACTATTGGCAATAATCTTTGGTAGAGACAGACTTGTTGGTGGAATACTGGAATTCATTTCGTCAATGAATTTGGGGAAGCACTCACTCCTTCGAACATGGTTTCAAACTTTAGCTTCAAATTTTATTTTTAAAATTTTTTAATGCACATTTTGTAAAAGTAAATTAATAAGAATTCATTACTTAATTAAATTTAAACGATAATATTTCATTAAATAAAAAATTACATTAATAAAAAAAGATTTTAATGATAACAACATAAATAAAAATTTAAATATTACATTACATTACAAAGAAATTATTGATTATTTGAGTGACTAAATATATGTTAAATCAAATCCGCCGTTAGTGACTTAGTGTATTGTGAATCTCACTGCTTTGAATTTCTTGGCGGTTTATTTGTTTCTTTTCTTCGTCGATTTCTTCGTATGTAGGCACCTCCTCGTCCGGGTTGTAATAACAATTGCAAACATGTTGCCCTTTGATGGGTGTATTCCACCCAGAACCGGTCAAAGAAGACACTCAAATACTCGACCGGTCGAAGTGGATTTTCCAGGATGGGAGACCTCAATCATCTGTAGAAGAATACTTGGTTGACCGAAAAGTTGACCGGTACTCATCGGATAGTGTACCGAGCAACTTACTTTATCGCCTAATCCACTCCCCGAGTTTCTATCGACTCAACCCTCAAGAACTACCTGGTATGTTTCCTAGGGAAAGGGTGTCGGCAAGAAGAATCCAAAGAAGCTTGGATTGTAATAGCTAGAATCGTTGTAGGATCAGTGGAGATGCTAAAGTGATTCGTCCAAGCCAATACGCGACAAGGGAGTAATCTCCCTCGCAAGATGACAAAGCAGCTAAAGGACGAAGGCCATCACCTCCCACCATCTGAGAACGTGCCTCAACGTGGGTGCACATCGTTTTGTCCCCTGAGTCTTAGTATAAATACTGTTGTAACCTTCATGGGAAGGGATCCGAATTCATTCTCTCTAAACTCCCTTGTAAAAGTTCCTGTGCATCCTCCTATATTTATAATATCAATTGGGCTACAGGTGTTTCCACCTACAGTCCTCCCGGTCATTTGCGTGTTTTTACCTTTTTACTTTCTGAATCAAATAGACGATCCTAGACCCGGTCTAGTCTAGTTTATCCGGTTAGGTAATTTACACCATCACCCTTTATAATGATATTATGAAAAATAATACATGCATAAATGATATTTCTCATTTTCGTTTGAAAATAACACTTAGATAGACGATCTATAATGTGTCACTTACCATTCAACACCTCGAAGGCTCATTCGATATCCTTTTTCGGTGCCTCTTGAGCTTTTTGTAGGTATGGCGTTTAAGACTCATTGATTTCGAGAGGGACTTGACAATTGTGGAATAATCTGAATATATTCCATCGGCAAGATAATATCCACGCTTGTGAAGCGTCCCTCTAAGCTCAAAAGACAAGTCGGGTGCAATCTCATTAACCCAATCGTCAAAAATAGGCGATTGACCAAGAATATTGATATTGTAGTTCGAGCTCGCAACACCAAAAAAGCATGCCAAAACCAAAAGTCACTTTTTACGAGGCATCAAGTCCTCTTCCAAAGAGGCACAAAGTCCAAAGAAAGTCATCTTCCAGGAGGCCTAAATCTTTGAGAAAAGTCTTCTTGCAAGAAGCACCAAGTCCCGAGAAAGTCTTTTTCTAATAGGCACCAAATCCTGAGAAAGTCGTCTTCCAAGAGGCACAAATTCCTGAGAAAAGTCCCCTTTCAAGAGGCACCAAATCCTGAGAAAGTCGTCTTCCAAGAGGCTCAAAAAAAGAAAGAAAAGTCCTCTTCCATGAGGCACAAATCCCCGAGAAAAGTCCTCTTTTTAGAACCACCAAGTTAAATCTTTACCCACGAGGTAACGAGACCCTCCAAAAAAGAAAGTCCTCTTTCCGAGGCACCGAGGAAAGTTTTATCCTATGAGGCAACCCACCGAGTCACATAGTTTATGAATATGTCTTGTTTCCCGAGACAGACTCAAAACTAGGGGGGCATGTGATGGATTAGGGATTCTACCTAATCGAATATTATTTGAATAGTACAAGTAACTACAATTCAGTCTGGCCCAAGATATAAATTAGATAAATTATTTTAGACGGAGCCAGAGATATATAGACAGAAGAATATATATTTGAAATGATGTAAAGATATCTAGCGGGGCCCGCGGAACATTATCACATGAAAGCCACATGGGCTTCACATGAAGGAGGTCCCTTTTGGTCTCCATCAATCACTCCCTCCCCCCTTTAAATGTGAAACTACGAGAAGAAAGAGAGAGGCTAATTCCTACTTTATCATACTAAATAATACTTCTTCTTCTTTAAGATTGGAGCTCCATCAATAGCTCCAAACTTCTACAATGGTGTATATGTAAATTCCCCCGAGATTAATAAAACTTCCCCCTCTTGGCATGGCACCGCCTAAAAAGGCTCGTGGTTTTCTCCTGATTTGGGTTTCTACGTAAAAATACTTTCTCTCCGCTTTATTTATTTATTTTGTCGGATTTCGCTATTCGGTGCGGTACCGACCCGATACCGAGTTCATCGGGCCGACGGTCCGAAAAAGCGGTTTCCATCACCATTCAAAATGTCTAAAAAAGAATATTAAAAATGTCTAAAAAAGAATAAAAAATACCAACTCAAAATCGACTTATCACCTTTTGTCCTTTATCTTTGTTTCATTTTGACTTTTGAGGTTAACGTTTTAAAACTTTGACCATAAATTACGAAAAAATCTATTGAATTTTGATATAAATTCAACATCAATAGATTTATTTTGAAACGTTGTTTTGAAATATCATATTTTTTCTATATTTGTATATAAATAGAGATATTAAAATTTAATTTACGTTGAAGACCGTGAAAAGTCAATCGGGAGGAAATGTTTGAGATAGAGAGAGAGCATTACTTATTCGTATTGAAACCAGTTCAGATATGATAAAAAACAATTTACAATATCACTACATTCATATCGGATCAGATCAGACCAGATCAAAAGTTATTCCAAATAGATCAGAATCAATAGATCAAGTGAAGAGAATAAGCCCCAAATCTCTCAAACCAAGATTAGCAGTGGACCAATAAGAGATGCCTCTCCCTGTGTCATGTCATCAGCCTAGAAACTACATTATCAATAACTTCACCAAAACACTTTAGTTTGTTAGTTCAATGGTGTTGACTAATCTTTTGGAAAAATAGAATCTAATATTTGTTAGGTATTTTACTAGGTAGAAACCTCTATTTGTTAGGAGAGGTTTATTTTATTTAGACTTCTAGAGTTGATGTTGTAACACCCTAATCCGTCCAGGTCTGCAGTCCCTTTCGAACTAAAGTATTGATTTGGTAATCGTGATAATTTAAAACATTTCAAACATTTTTATTTATAAATAATATTCCATACATAATTGTAGAGAAATACGGAGTGTTTAAATAAAATGCGGAAGCGACTTTAAAATTTGTCTCATAACAACATAATTATTTATTTCATTCAATAATCTACCACGACTGTCTCGCCCCTTCTGCTGCCAGGAATCAGCCAATCATTCATTCTGCCTACCTGCGTGTAGCAAATAAAACACACTACACGCTCAGCGGTGAAGCTGAGTAAGCATATCTAAAGCGTCGAACATCCACATAAATTGAATCTCAATTCACAATCAACCATTTGATATCATGCACACAATATATGGTTCAACCATTCATAATATTTTCCATATTTTATTCCAAGTCATTTGATATTCAATATATCAATAATGCTCTTAAATTATTCTTAATCTAAGGCCAAATCATTTCATAACAACTCTTAACTTTTCCGAGTCTAAGGCAACATTTCTAACCAGACCCTTAAACTATAAATAGTTTAATGCAGAACACAAGAATCGATAATCCACCCTATGAGTCATGTGGATTACGTACCAACCGAACAATGATTTGTCAGGTGGGTGATATCCGGTCTGGATCCCGTACGTACGTTTTAACCCGAAATATGAATTGGTCAAGTAGGTATATCTTAGAGTTCTTCTAGATATCCTTAATAATCATCATCAATATACAAGTGGGTATATCTTAGAGTTGTTCTAGATATCCTTAACAATACGATTCATTAATTCATTATTTTCACTTTAACAATTCATGATCATCATTCAAAACGTTCATCATCATTAATTCATTATAATCAATAATCAAACAATCGTCATAATGCATAATAACAAATAGCGGCCTAGTCTCGAGTGTTAACACCCGAACTTACCGCCATGCATAACATAATGTTTATATGTCACAAACATCATTTTATTGTACAAAATCATATTTATATGGTTTATAATTAATTGGTAACAAAATAGGATTTTAAAGCATATTTTCAATAATATTTTCAGAACAGGATCTATACTTGAGGAAAATTGATTTTTATTTTTTTAAAATAATCAATTAATACCTAAAAATCGATTTTTATATTTTAAATAATCAATTAAATGCTAAAAATCGATTTTTATATTTTAAATAATCAATTAATTCATAATAATCGATTTTTACAATTTAAATAATCAATTAATTCATAATAATCGATTTTTACAATATAAATAATCGATTAAATGGTACTGACTTTGAACCACTGATCTGAATAAAATTCTAATCGATTTTTAGTAAGTAAATAATCGATTTTCGACCACTGTTCATCGTCTTCTTCCTCGAGTCATTTTTAACATTATCATTTTTTTAATCACCAAACTTCAATTTAAATATATAAAAATGTTCTCCAATGTTCACAGATCATTTTAGAGTCATTAATTCGTAATTTTAACAACAATTTCATGGTTTATGATTCTTGGTTCTTTAAACATGTCAAACACAAAACTCAACCAAATGACTATATATGAATGTAAAAACAACCTATATGAACATTCTAGTCATTAGATATATCTACGGGCTTACCTTGAAGCGTAAGGGAGGTTTTGAAGATTTTCCGGCGAAACTTCCGGCGACTCTATCTCACTGCTCCGGCGACCTCACACAAAGATGACAGCACCACTGCAC